GGTCGCCGCCAACTCCCTGGGCTCCTGGAAGCCGCTCCGCGGGGGCCCCCGAGAGTCTAATGGAGGGGCGGGGGCGTCTCTCCCGGGCTGTTGCCGAAGGGGTCTCTTTGCTCCCCAGATCTTTGGGTGGCGGTGGCCGCCCTGGGAAACGTGTCCGGGTGCAGAGTCTGAAGAAACAAAACTGACATTTCTCAGAACACCGCACGCAAAGCTCAGTTCTGAAACGACTACCTCCAGGGGCCTTAATGCGTGTCGTTGACCGGGCGGTCAGGTTGGGGCTGCGGGGCCGGCTGTTGGTGGGCTGGACCCTGCTCGGAGCCAGAACCCTGCGCTCCGCTGGCGTGGAGGGGCTTCTGTCCAGTCCTGCCCCGTGCGGCGTCGGCTGGCCTGGGTCAGCCCCTCCCCAGGGTCTGCGCGTGGCTTCTGTGGCTGCTGTGTCAGTACGTGGCCTGAATGAATCACTGTTTTTCCCTCCAGGTCCTTCTTAGGAAGTGTTAAAAGAAACGAACAATTACAGGCAATATCAGTAGTTATAAGGCAATTCATTTTGCTCAGTTTCGAAGTCTGGAGATCGACTCCCTGTCCATGGACAGATTGACTCTGTCACAGAAGATTTGTCCCTTAGGGTGGAAACATAAACCCTTGGGTTGGACTGGACAGAGGCAAACCTAGCTCTCCCCTTGTCGCCTGGATAAGGAAGCAGGTGCAAAGAAGGGCCGCGACTTTCTGGAAGGACGGGAGGGCCTGGGAGTTCAGTCTCCTGACTTCCTTCTCCTGTTTATCTTCAGTTTCCATTCTTTTCCCGCCCCCCACCTACTTACTTCTGCGTGGTCATTTTTTGGGTTCCCTGTGGTGCCCAGTACTGCAGACTGCCAACCCGGTACCGTGCCTGCACTTCCCCTGCTCCCAACCTTTGGGTTTCTTTTTCTGAGCCAGTGACTCTATTTGTGACTGTATTCGTCAGGCTCGTAAGCTTCCCGGAGTTGCGTCCTTCCTTCCCGCTTTCTTTCGCTCCTCATTTTCTGGATCACACAGTAATTACACACTGGCTCTGAAAGAATTGCGATAGCACAGTTCTGAGCTCGGGGAGGCCCTCGAGTCTCAGGGAATCAGGACACAGTGGTTCAGAGGCAGCCCCAGGTGGCGTTGCGTTAGCTTGACAGGATAATGGGTCCTGGGAAGTCGCGGGTCCAGGGGATGGAGGAACTGACCCTGTAACAGTTAAAGCAGGCTGGACCTGGGGGGAGCGATCGGATAGGCACACGGAGGAAGGAAATAGGAGGCAGGCCACCCGTCTGGAGTCTGGTTTGGCTCTTTGCCTTATTTGTGATCTTAGGCTAGTAGTTCAGTCTTTTCATCTGTAAAACAGGAGCAGGAATACTTGCCTTCCCCCCTCCTGAGGGTCAGCCGGGACAGTAGCTACATGACACCCACAGGCAGGCAGTATCGGGCAGCTGTTATCCCCTTCAGACCTTGGAAGGGTGAAAGAGTGCTCCCCCAGTAAGGTATGTCCAGGGAAGCTGGGAGAGACCCTGACAGGCCCCAGATGGCCAGAGCGAAAGGTAGGGGCATCGGTCCTGTTACACCTGGGACATCAGAAGTAGGTACAGATGCCCATCTGTCCTCCCTCTTCTCTCTAGGGCTGCTCGTCATTGTGGGTCTGCTTTCAGGGAGAGAGAAGATGGGTCAAAATACGATTGACCATCAAGCAAAGGCCCAGCCCCATCCTGGGGAACCTCGGGGAGGGCGGCCTGAGCCTGCCAGGTTTTGGTTTGAGTTAGAGCTGCGGTTTTTTTTTTTTTTTAAGTTTGTTTAATTAGAGTTGATTAATACATTGATGTCGTTCGAGAATCAAAATGACATTACAGGAGTGGGGTCTCCATCTCTCCCACCCTGTACCTGCTCACTCCAGCCTCCTGGCAGTTTCGTGCATATCTGTCCGGAGTTGGTTACACGGATGCAGGTGTCTGTCAGCACCCATTTGTTCCCCCTTCTACACACAGAGGCTCACGGATACGTTTCATTGCACCCTTCACCTGTTCGTTTCGTCTAATGTACCCTGGAGAGCTTTTCATGATGGCGTTGCAGGTGTTGTGGCCTTGGCCATTAGGACCCCCACCGCGCCCCCAGTCAGCTGAGTCAAGGGGTACCTGCTCTGTGGACACAGAAATGGCTGACAGCCTTGCTCAAAGATAGATTTAAAAGCTGCACATATTATGCGATGCATTAGGAAATAATAGAGCTTGTTTTTCACATTTGTTAGCATTGAAGACAAGACCTTGGGGATCTCGGAACTAGACCTGCTTCCTTTTCACAGGTTCAGGAAAGGTCTGGATGACCAACCTGTGCAATGTAATTGTGGAGAGGTTTCAGCCTTGTGAGGGATTATGGGCGGTGGTGAGCGGCACTGAAAACTTGAGTTCATCCTGCCTGGGCCTCCCTGATAAGCAGGGTTTCTGTCTAAAGTCCAGCTTGTGGGAGCAGCACGGGAGGAAGCAGCTGGCTGGCAGGAAGCTGAATGTCAGGCTGTGGTGTGCGCGCTGAGCAGGCAGGCGCACCCTCTCCATGTGGTGGGCAAACGGCAGGGGAGGGGCGCAGCTGAGCAGGTAGAACTAGAAATTCTGCCAAGAGCAGACAGGAGAGCGGTGGAGCGAAAGCCTCTTGTCCTACGCATCTATTACCACTTTCTGCCATCCGAAGGGGCCGGGCCCGCCGACTGACGTCACTGGAAGTGCAGCCAAGGGTGGCTGCTTATACTCAGTGCAGCCTGGAGCTGGGCTCACAGAGCCTACCTCTGCCCACACATTCCTTGTCTGTACCCCCAACCTCAGGGAGTAAGTTCTGTCTCCACAGGAAGCCCTAGGTCTGGGTTCTAATTGTGCCACGACGTCACACTCACTTGTCAGTCCAGTAAACATTAGTGTTTAGTATGCCCTGTGCCAGATGTTAGGGACACGAAAGCGAGTAACTTGCTCTCAGGAAGCTGTGAGGGGACCAGCCGTGCGGTGGGAGGAAGCCCACGTTGAGGTGCACCGGGCATCTGTTGTTGGTGGCTTTCCCAGGCCCTGTGTTGTCCTCCGTGTTCCATGACTGCAGCCCCCTTACAGTTGGAGGGACCCACCCATGAGGCTCACACGTCAAGAGGGATGTTTGGATGAATTCTGAGAGAAAACCAGAGACTGGCTGGCTAGTTTCCCTCCTTTTCCTTCCTTCCTTCCTTCCTTTAAAAAAAAAAAAAAAATTTAAACAAACTCCTGGCAAGAAGTCAACTTAAGGAGAATTCTAATAATTAGGGTGCATGGAGAAAACAAAGCTTCCTTAATAGAGCTTTCCTGTAGTGGGTTTGGCTCAGATTCTGGACACCTTCCCCCTCTGTGACCACCTTGTCACCACAATACTTTCTCGGAGCAAAGCAGTGTTAGGAGCTGGGAGGGTACAAACATAACTGGCTTCTCTGTTATCAAGGAAATACAGACATATATCGACCAAACATGGAGTAGAGTGTGCCAGGGGCTGTCACCAAAGTACAAAGTGTCTGGAAGCACAGAATGGGAAAAGATGAGAAAAAGGATTTAATTAAGAAATGATACATGCTCAGTGTAGAAAAATGAGAAAACAGAGGCATGTAGAGAAAATAAAATTACATATAATCCTATTTAGAGATAAACACTTAGGGCTGGTGTTTCATCCTAGTCTTTCCTCTGAATAAATGTGCGGTATATGCATATTTATTTGAAGCAAAACATGCTTTAAACAAAACCCATTCTATAGTATTCTACTGTGTGGCTGTAACATAATTCAACTGTTCACCTTTTGTTGGGCTTTTTTCTCTTCGCTGTACTACATATCATCGAATCGTCCTGTTCATGCATCTTTATGCTTACCTTTGATTATTTTCTTAGGCTACATTCCTATAAGTTGAGGAGAGATTAATTTTCACTGGGGAAAAGCATAATGAATCAAGGGGAATTTGAACAATATTTTGCCGTGTATGGAGCGTAATAGTTTTGGAGTTTCAGAATTACACAGACTTGGGTTAACTTTCCCACCTGGCCGTTTGGAGCTGTGTGATTTTGGGCAACTGTGCTAAGCCTCAGTGTTCTCGCCTGTCACATGGGATGGTAACAGCAGTCTTGTCTCACAGTGTTTTTGTGAGAATTTAGCGCGAGTACACGCAAGGCACTGACCTTCACGGAGCTCGGTGTCATCTGCCATCACTCCCCGGTCCAGGCAGTCACGAGACCTTGCCCAGATTTAAGGGGAGGGGACTTAGGTTCTACTTCAGTCACAGTGTAAGAGAAGCACACGAAGGAGAGCGATACGTTGATAGGTGCATCTGTCTTGGAAAATACAGTTTGCCGTGTCGTTTCACTACTCAGACACACAGCAATTTCTAGGACTTGTATCCGCAGTCGTGCAGGTTTGTGCACCACCAGCTCTCATGGGCTTGTGTGAGAACATGCTGTGATGGACTAGGGTGATCGTGCCCGAACCACCGCCTCCCTCTCTGCCTGGCTCACCACCTCTGCCACTTCCGGCCCCTGCGCCGTTCCTCCCTCCCACTTTCCTGTTCTCAGCCAGGTGACCTGTGTTCTTGCTTTCTCCTGCCCTTTTTCTCTCCTTGAAATTTATCAGACTCACACAGATACTCTAGGAT